TAGCAAAAAAAAAAAAAAAAAAAAAAATATATATATATATATATACTAAAACAAAAATTAAAAAATGTTTGCAGTGAATGTTTAATTTATTTTCAAAAATTTATGAGAGTAAAATATGTATTGCCTTTCAAAAAATACTCCCTTTTGCTTTGAATACACATCCCGTCATCCTTGGCACTTTCTGAAAGAGCTCTTTCTTTTGATAGTCAAATTATTTTTAATTTTCCTAATGCATGCTTGCCGTACATGAGGACACTTATCACTGGGTGTCGGGGCGTGTACATAACGCAATTCATTTTCTGTTTTTATTGGGGTTTTTGTTTTTCACCTCCTACACTTCCTATTCCCCTCTGTTCCGAGAGACCCTTTTGAAATGCATAGGAAGGAGTGAAGGAAGGGAATGGGGGAAATAAAAGAATTGAAGGGGAAAAATGATAAAATCAGAGATTTTGCAGATGGGAAGGGGAACAAGGTTTGGGAGAAACTTAAAAAGAAGCTATTTAAAGAACTTATTATTGTTGACATATGTACCCTTGTGGAAAGAAGACTCGCCATATTTTCTGAAGTTCAAAGTGGAGAAGTTCAGCGTGGCTTTAATCTTATGTCTCTGTGTCTGGTGGTCTCCTGCAGTGAATCTGGAAGGCCTTAGTCGTATTGTAATCAGTTCTTTCTGAATGAGTCAGTTTGACCTCCTGGATGTCTTGGCAAGAATCCCAACAAGGCCTGTGCGCCACACTCTGGAGACCTGGTGCTTAGGACCCCGTGCACTAACGTTTAGACAATGAAGCGTTAATGATTCAGTGCAAGAATCAGCAAAGCGAAGGGAATAAAAGTCAGCTGAATGTCAGCAATTACCTGAGGAAGTCACGGGTGAACCCAATCATACGATCTCGATGACAAGATGTTTTATCAAACTACCAGAGAATGATCACTCTTTAGTCCGCATGCGCAGTGGGGCTCTCATTTGTATTAAATGGGCTATACAGACTCATGTCTTTGCTTGTGTTCTTATGTTTAATGCGTTTAATGTTTAAAAAGTGGAAGAGGTGGAGTAGGTGGTATTTGAGAAAGCTGCAAAACAGCAAACGTAGTATTTGCCGAATCCCACAGGGATGGGAGGAGCTGGCTGATTTGAGCTCTAAAGTCCATGCCAACTACAACCTCGGCTCTCTGCGGTCCTTCGGTACCAGTCTTGTTTTTCCCCAAATACAAGGTACATAACGTATGGAAAGGTTAACCGGAGTGCTCTAAGCACGCACTCGTGACTGTGATTCCTTCCCCTCGTGCCCATGAGTCTTCACCATGTCCTGCTGTTCTCTTCCTTCTCGTGGTGCCTGCCTGACTTTGAATTTTCGGTTCTTGACGGTCCCCTAACTGGAAGTCATTTTCTCCTTTTTCTCCACTGTCTCTCTTGTCCTCTGAACCTCTGCTACGAGCCCTCCACTGGGTGTCAGACTTCAGTTGCGGACTCTTGCACTCCCACCGTGGAGTCTGCGTGGAGAAACTCCGCCATGGCTCCGGGGCTTGTCTGAGAGCATCTTCTCTGTAACGTCACCGTTTTCTTTTCTTGCACAGCAGAAGTGGTGAGAGACTGTCATCTTTTTACTGCACTAAATAGCATTTATTTTAGAGTTTCAGATTGCCAAAGGATAAAACAGGCACCACGAAAGTGGGTGACCTCGCCCCTCAGGACATGAAGAAAGTTTGCCGTTTAGCCTTGGTCGAACTCACCGCGCTCTATGATGTCCTGGGTGTTGAACTGAAACAACAAAAAGCTGGGAAAATCAAAACAAGAGGTAACTGTGAAAGGAAAAATAGACTGATTCCTACTGGGGCAAAAAATGGACTTGGCTTTTCAGTGGTATTCCTGGTGGGGGGACAGTGTGGGCAGCGGGAATACCTACAAAACAAATGAAGACTTTCCTACATCTAAAGTTCAGATTCTAAAACACTGCCTACAAAAATGTGTAATTGAGTAAAACTATGCTGTGTCCTAGGCCACAGAATAGAGACGTGATCAAATAATTTAATTCTCACAGACGGAAATTGGGAATCCAAGATTCCTAACTCCTGGGTTCTGTCCCGTGAAAACTGTATATTTAATATCCATTTGGTGCACAGACTGATTTATTTCCCAATTAGATCTGGAAGAATGACTTTAATGTGGTTGATCCTAAATGATTACTTTTACTTATTCATTAGAGGGAAACAGGTGAGGCAGTTACGGCTGTCCCTTTGTTTGCTTATAATCGACTTGTAATTATTATGTAAAAACATTCTTTACCCTATTAAGAAAATGCCACTGTGGCCCACGTTGTCATTCAGGTGTGGTGTGCTCCCACATATGTATAGTTTTTCTTGTGTAAGCAGCTTGCTTTCCCCATGACTTAAACAGTGGCTTGTTTATAATATGATACAGTGGAATCCTCCGCAGCTTCTGTTTCTCGAAGGTTTTGTTGGTCTGGATGATTCTCTGATAATTCTCTGCTGACAAAGCTTTACTGGTGGGAAATCTCTGTCTTCCTGTTTAACAGTAAGGTGTCTCCAGAAGAGACACCAGGAAGGTGGATTATTGAGTTGCCGTGGTAACACTTGCCAAGCCAAGCGCTCACCTGGTTCAAGTTTCGGAGGGAGATCGCTTCTGTGTGGGACAGAAGCTCAGGTCTCCTGTCACGATGAGGGCTTCAGGTGGAGCTCAATTCTGGGAGGATGTTAGCTCGAAGCCGGAGCTGATGAATTTCTGAGTGAAATGGTTTTTCGGGTTTTCTCTGTCCATCGTGGAGAAAAAAAGATTCCAGATGCTTCTTTGGAGCCAGACGCAGGGGTAGTGAACATCTGTGTCCTAGTACTTGGGAGGCTGGAGGGTTGGAGCCCTACCTGGGAAGTTGTACAAGATCAATTCTCACAATCAAGAAGGGCAGGAGAGGTACTTCAGTGTGAAGGCCCTGGGTTCAATCCCCAGTACTTCAGGCAAAAAGAAAAAAAAAAGGAAAAGGAAAGCAAAAGATACTTTTTAGAAATTCATTACACAACCTCAGGGCCTTCTCCAGCTACGAAATAGAAATGCAAAATTTCAATAGCTGTGACCCAATGGTCAAGATCTTTAAAGTGATTTAAGAAGTTTTATTTTTCTTTACCATTTATTTTTTCTTTTCAGTACTGGGTATTGAATCCAGGGAGTACAGAGTTGCATCCTTTGCCCATTTTTCATTATTGATTAATTGGCTGAGTTAATTTATGACTGATTGATTGATGATTGATTGCTAAGTTGCCCATACTCGAATAAGGTTTGCGACCCTGCTGCCACAGCCTCCAGACAAGCGGGTTAAAGCCTATGCCACTACACTGGGCTCTTATTTTTGTTTTCAGTTATGATCTGCAGTTTCTTCAAAGTGGAAAATACTAAGTTGTTCTTATTAAAACTATCACTGTCGTAGTGGTAATCTCTCTCGCTCTCATCCAAGATGTTTATGTCATTTAGTAGATAGTTGGCATTCTTGAGATCACACGTTGCTTCCCGCACTGCAGGTGATTTCCTGGGTGACTGGGATTATTCTGAGCTGCACTTTGGTGTCTGATGTGTGTTCACTGTGCTTGGGACGATTCCTGTTTCCCCTGATGGTGCACGTGGCAGGGACAGGCTGCCGCTGCTGTGTGACCCCCACTCACACTGGGGTGCAGTAGACCATCTCGGGGGGAGTGCTGCCTTTCACCACACTCAGGTCCTATGGTATTAATTTACCACCTCCCATCTCTTCTGGAACTACATCCAAATACATAAAGCCAGGAATTTAAGAATACCAAGTACCTCATAGACACTTTCTCACAAGAAACAGCTGGAGAACAGGGTCCAATGTTGGCCTACTCCTCAGAAAGCAAGAAATACAATTTATGTTCAGCTTTATTACGGATGTTAAATGCCAGTTTCATATGGGAGACCTGAGTGGTTTTTTATTTTAAACCAGAATTTGGGATTTGACTGCACTTAGCATATTGTTTGATTGTCACATAGATCTTCACAACAGCCTGTTTTTCTGAGGTAGCAGTTTTTCCTTTTGTAACTATTTCCGTGATACTTTTAATCATTTGTTGAGTCGTCCTTCTCTGGCAGACTGCTCTACAAGCAGGGTCAGGATGTTACCATTGGCTGTGTGTGCCCGATGGCTCGCTGGATGCTGTCATTTTCCTGGTCGGTGCTCAGTGATCCCTTGTCTAATTGAATGAGAGTGTCAGAGATCTCACACGTTTCCGTCCTTTATTAATAATAGAAGTAAAGCGAATTTGTTTTCTCATTGCAGATTCTGGGCTTTTTGGCGTCCCGTTGACCATATTGTTAGAACAAGATCAGAGGAAAGTGCCAGGAACTCGAATCCCTTTGATTTTTCAAAAAGTAAGTTGGCCTGAACTGGTCAGTGGGAGGAGAATATGCTTAAATGAATAGTGGTGGTGGTTTGTTTTGCACTCATGCTGTTAGAATATAGTTTTCCAATTGATATGCTGTTTTATTTAACACTTTGATTTTTCTATTCAGGGAGCAAATTTCTTTCAAGGGCTCATAATTTTTATTTCATGGTGATGCTTTCTGCATTATTACTGTAACTGTGATTACCTGGCCTCATTTTCCTGTCTTATATTAGCTGCCTTTGTATAATTGAGATTTCAATTCTATAACACATAGGAAAGGGAGCTGCTTATAAATTTCTAGGGAATTGAGCCCTCATGAATATTTCATGCCTGCATGTATTTCCCAAGCTTTGCTATTTACAGTGAGGATGTCCAATTTAATTTACCATTGCCTGTGTCCAACGGAGGCAAAGAAACCATAAAGCAGAATTAGAAAATGATTGCTAAACTATCAAGTTGCTTGTGTAGTCAACACTCAATTATTCATAAAGAGATTATCTGTAGCAGTAAAAAACTTCAACCCAACCTCCGAGCAGTCATTGTTCAGAAACACAGATTGCATTTGATAAAAGCGAGGCAGTGAAGAGAAGATGGGCCATTCAGTTGCGACCACCCCGGCCAGAGAGTCTTTGCAACACCCCGGGGAGGTCAGGGCTGCTGAGGTTTCTGGAGATGGGAGAAATTGGTTCAAAGTTGATCAGCTCAGCCAACCTGCCCGATCCTAAGGCACAGTCTCCTCAGCACTTATTTCTCCTTTATTCCAAATCAGTGGCTTCCCTGTCCCAGCCATCGGTGCCTCTACTACCCTCTCACGTTCATCCCAAGGTTGCTGCTGGTGAACTTGGTTCTGCAGGGATCATCCTGCCCATCGGCCACTGCCTGTAGAACCAGCACCTGAATGAGCAGTTGTCAGCAGCGCCCGTGACGGAGAGAGGCAACAAGGGAGGCTACAGATTCAAATTCGAGTGTCAGTAGAGGGGAATTATTAGACACAGGTGGCTTTGCAAAGCAGGGAGGGCAGCAGTGTCCGCCCCATGGGAACCAGCCAAGGTTCTTCAGAAAAACAGAACTAGTGGGATAAATGAATACAGAAAGATGGAGAGATTTTATCGTAAAGAATTTGATCAAGTCTGACAAAGTGAAGACCTGGGCAAGAGTGGATGCTGCAGGCTTGAAGCAGAACAGCTGCTTTTGGGGAAGCCTTGGTCTTTGCTTTTGGGCCTTTGACTGATTGGACAAGGCCCACCAAAAACATTACAGAGGAAAATGAATCGGTTTACTCAAACTCTGCTGATTTAAACTCTAATTACATCTAAAAGAAAATTTGGTTATTGGTGTTAGAGCTGGACCCAGTAGCTGTGCCAAGTCAACACACGAAGTTAACAACCTACCAGGGAAGGTTGGCAAACTTGGGTCTTCATAAGGTTCCAGAGCCCGCTATGGATTTCATCTTAAGAAGAATCCTCTTTGTCTTTTCTCTTGAAATCTTTAACGATTTTGCTGTATTGTATCTTTGTTCTCTTCAACTTTTTGGAGACTCTGATTTGCGCAGAGCCCTGCACTTTTGGTTCAGATACAAAAAAAAAAGGGGTAAATAGAGTGTTCTTGTAGGGAATACCCCTCTGCCTGAATCCTCTGAACTAGGATTAGTAAATCACAGCATTTGGCCATGCGAATTGTTTTGATTTATCAGCTGACAATTTTGTAGAAAGGAAGAATGAGAAACCAGTGATTAATGAAAAGATTGATCTACAGACTTCTCTGGGTTTATACTTTAATTTTGAAGAGAAACTGTACACAAAGGAAAGGGTAGTAATAAAGCTTATTTGTTATTACTGAGTTGTATCTGTTTCTCTTTTTTTCCTCTGTAATGTTTTGTACAGACGCACATTTTTACAGCATATTGTCAGGAAGCTGTTGGATAAGTAAAACTGTTCATTTTAATCTATGGAGAAAGATAGCTTAATAGTAGAATCAGCAGTGCCAGCATTCTCACTGTCAAATGAGTTAGGCGTATCAACTCTACTTTGATATTTTGTGTCAAAAAAATCTGACTTTATTTTCATTTCATTTTTAAGTGTTTGGGTTTTTTTTTTGTTGTTATTTGTTTTTTTTTTTTGTACTAGGGATCGAACTCAAGACCTTGCTTTTGCAAGGAAGGTGGCGGAACCACTGAGCTAAATCCCCAGCCCTTGAGTTTAGTAATTTTGAGAAAGGTTACAAATTACTGTTAAAGTACAGACCATATAAGATGAATTACTGAAAATGATACAATTTTATAAAAAAGTAGTCATTTTTTATCTTCTAAATTTTGCAAGTTAAAAGAAAGCTATATAGAGTATTATTATATTTTAATAGTATAATATAACGTAGTAGTTAAATATGCTAATTTAATTGTCCTGGGTTGTACGAAGATTGGAGTATGCCAAGCAATCGTGCTACCCTGGCCTATGTCCTGAACCTTTTTATTTTGAGACACGGTCTCGTTAAGTGGCCTGCTCTGGTTTTGAACTTGAAGTGCTCCTGCCTCAGCCTCTGGAGTAGCTGTGGTTACAGAGGTGTGCCACCATGCATTTCAAAATGTTACCTTGAAAGTGAGAAATAGGGAAACCTGTATGGTTTTTTCAGACAGTACATAGCCATAACTCTATTAGATGTTGGTATTCAGCTTTAGAGAATAACAAAAAGGACTCATATATAAAAACTGTTATTCAGTTATTAGAGATGAGAAATTTTTGTGTATTTGATAAAAGCAATAGTCATATACTACTAAAAAGTTTACCTCTGTGGGTAGCATCTAATTTCATGTTTTGTTACAAGACTATCAAACATTTAAACATTTTATAAGGTAAAATAAAAATTAGTTATGTTTATAAATTTTTAATACTCATAGAAATTGAATGCTTATAAATTTGGTTTTAAATGCTTTACCAAATAATGCCCCTTTAATTAAAATAATTCATATCATTTTTGCTTTGGGATTCTATCCAGTGCAATTGAAAAAATGCAGTCTTGAAAAACATTCCAGTTGAATTAAAAAAAAAACAAAAACACTTGCTGTCTTACTGGTCAAAGATGCTTCATCTGATTATTAACTGCCACTGTAGTTTGGACATTACTGAGTTTTAAACCTGGGGCCTTCACCCTGAGCTCTGTCCCCAGTGCTCTCTAATTTTATTATGACACAGGGGCTCAGTTGGTTGCCCAGGATGGGCCCAGAGGTTCAGCCCTCCTGTCTCAGCCTTCCTGAATGCTGGGATATTAGGTATTGTGCCACTAAGATCTGGCCCTTAGGAGAGTTTTGAGGGTATTCTGTTTGATGCTCACCTGAGGGCCTCACTGTGACTGTGGCTTTAGCCATCACCTACTGCAAGGTCATTAAAGAAAAAGTGATGCCTTTCAGGGTGTGCAAGCTGCCCTGCACCTGAGTTCAGAGCATCCCTCAAGGGGCAAAGCCTTTCTTTCTGATGCCCTGCTCCACTAACACTTTCATATGCAAGGAAAAATAGGGCTCCGTGGTTTATAGAGCCTTTGTCAATGAGTGCAGAAGTCCCTGGAAGAAAAAAAAATGATTTGCATTACTTTGCTCTCTGGGTGGTTTTCTGCCTTAGGGTGTGCAGAGACTGTTATAAAAGAGGGCAGAGAAAGGGGAGTACAGTCTGTCCTCATGGGGCCCGTTGGAGGAAAAAGACCCTGTGGTGTGTGAATGCCCTGTGTTCACACCGAGGACCTGGGAAGTGATTTCCTGCTCCTCTGTCCTTGGGTGCAGCCCCGATACTGCAAGTTCCAGTCTTCCAAATAAAGATTGCTCTACCAAGGAAAGGGCTGAAGTTCATCTCTTTGATAGCCTCCAGCATTTTGGCAATAATCCCTCATTTGCCTTATCTCTGTGACTTTCTGGCTTATATATTTAAAGGAAACCTTATTGTCATGAGGTTCTGGAGATAAAGCATCAGGTATGTTTCAGAAGGAGCCCTTTTCAAGAACATTTTTCTTTAAGTTTACCAGCCAAAGTTTTAAAATGAGTATTAAGCCATGTGTTAGTGGTGCATGCCTGTAATCCCAGTACTCGGGGAGGCTGAGGCAGGAGGGTAATAAGTGTGAGCCCAGTCTGGGCAGTTTAGTGAAAACTTATCTCAAAGTGGAAAGGGCTGGGGTTCTATCTCAGGGTTCATTTCCCCAGTATTACCCCCCCGCCAAAAGAATATTAACAGTTTCTTTACTTTCTTTTTTTTTTTTTAGTTTTTTGAGACAGGGTCTCACTGTGTAGTTGAGACTGACCTGGAACACACTCTGTAGCCCAGGCTGGTCTCGAACTCACAGTGATCCTCCTGTCTCAGCCTCCCAAGTGCTGGGATTACTGGCATGCACCACCACGCCTGGCTAGGTTTCTTTTCTTGATATCACAATTCTTTCCTGGAACAACCACCCAGAAACAAGATGTAAATGTACAAATACTGCAATTCTATGAGATTTATTTGATAGGAGAAAAGGAAGTATTTAGTTGCTTTTAAGCATTTCTCCATTCTCTGTTTGGAAGACCACATCTGCTCACTTATAAAGTACAACAAGCTTCTCTAAGTCATAAGTAAAGTTTTGGGGCTTATTGTTTTGAAGAAAGCATTCAGAGCTTCATAAAATCTAGTTTCGATGTCATTATGATCAGCGTTCATTTATTCCTGTATGAAACATGTTAAACTGTACCTGTTACAAAAAGCAAAATCAAAACATTTTTCCATGACCCACAGCTGATTTCTCGAATCGAAGAGGGAGGTTTGGAAACAGAAGGCCTCTTACGGATACCCGGAGAAACACCCTCTAGCCCAGGCTGGTCTCGAACTCACAGTGATCCTCCTGTCTCAGCCTCCCAAGTGCTGGGATTACTGGCATGCACCACCACGCCTGGCTAGGTTTCTTTTCTTGATATCACAATTCTTTCCTGGAACAACCACCCAGAAACAAGATGTAAATGTACAAATACTGCAATTCTATGAGATTTATTTGATAGGAGAAAAGGAAGTATTTAGTTGCTTTTAAGCATTTCTCCATTCTCTGTTTGGAAGACCACATCTGCTCACTTATAAAGTACAACAAGCTTCTCTAAGTCATAAGTAAAGTTTTGGGGCTTATTGTTTTGAAGAAAGCATTCAGAGCTTCATAAAATCTAGTTTCGATGTCATTATGATCAGCGTTCATTTATTCCTGTATGAAACATGTTAAACTGTACCTGTTACAAAAAGCAAAATCAAAACATTTTTCCATGACCCACAGCTGATTTCTCGAATCGAAGAGGGAGGTTTGGAAACAGAAGGCCTCTTACGGATACCCGGAGCTGCCACTAGAATTAAGGTAACGTGGCCTCCTGCTCTGCTGCTGTACAGTTTGATTGCTGCATTACAGTGTTGCACTTTAAAACAACTCATCTCCACCCCTTTTTCCTGTGGGTATCACAGTGGGTGAAATAAAACAATGAAACCTCCTAACACCCAGTGGGCCTTTAGCTTTTCTACAGTCCTTTCTATTTTTCTATCAGCTTTTAGTTTTCAAGGTCACCTATGATAAGGCTAGGATAAAGAGGACACCACGTCTACACATGTCTGTAGGGATCTGGGAATAGCTCAAAGTCAGGATGCAGAACTGGCTTTTGAGTTTTTGTTTTAAAGAAGACAGGAACCCACGAGTCCAGCAGCAGAGCTGATTGCACACTGAAACACGGGCTCCCTTTCCTTATTAGCCTTGGTGAGCTGGCAAGAGAGACTGGCATGGCCACTTCCAGCGTGGCACAGCCCCCTGGAACCAGGGGAGTCTAACTGTAAATGGAGGGGCTTCCTAGACTTTCCAGTTTGACCCTCATTTCCTCTTCCTCGCTCGCCCTGTTTTCCTGTGTGTGTGGCATTTCCCTTGCAGCATCCCAGGATACCATGCACCTATCAGTGTGGCCCAGCTCCTGCTCTGGGAAAGAAAGCTTCTGGTGAATGTACAGAAAAGATGGAATGAAGTTGGGCATGGTGCTGCATACCTGTAGTCCCAGCACTCTGGGAGGCCGAGGCAGGAGGATGACAAGTCGAAGCCCAGCCTCGGCAGTTTAGTGACTTAGCGAGACTCTGTATCAAATGGGAATACAGATCTGAAATGCGAAGGGCACCAAGAGATCGAGAAGGGTAGGAAGGAGGGAAAGGGAAGGGGATGAAGAAAGAATTGAGATGAGTCGTGTACAGGCACCAGCTTCCCACAGTGAATGCGATCATTAAGTACTGCAAACATGGACCAACGAAAATGAATATTTGAAAGAAAAACATTTAGAAGAAAGGGCTAGGGATGTAGCTCAGTGTAAAGGCCCTGGGTTCAGGCCTCAGTCACACGCATGCACACCCACAAGTGGAAGGAACCTACAGGTGGTGCGTACCACACGTGCCTCCCCAGGAGGATTTGCCTTTCACAAGGGCGTTCCTTCTCGGACGTGGGGCTCTGTGCAACGAATCTATACAGCAGAAATGTTAACAGTCATCCACTGTCCCTTATCTTCCAAGTTCAGCTTTAGTTCTGTGCTGAGATAGCACGAGAAACTGCCCACGTCCAAGATGTTATCTTCCTGGATCTGAAAACCCACCGGAAGATTGGGGGGCGAGATCTTGGTTCGTCCCTTTAGGCCTGTTCTGTGTGAAAGCTGCGGGGCCGATCAGCACACAGTGTTCTCAGTGGGCGCAGTCTGGCCTGGCCTGGGACTGCCAGGGTTGGAATGACTGTGTGCTCCGCACGGCTGGCATCACCTGCTCCTTTTGATAAATCTCCTTCCTTCAGAGCAGTGGTTGCTGTCTAGTCGGCTCTTACTCACGGTGATCTCCTTTTTAGAGGATTCCAGGGACCTGATATTCCTTACTCTCCCATTTCAGCCCGTGCCCCTAGGTTTTGTGTCCCGGGTAGACATTCCCAACGCTGCTTTCGGGTCTTTGTCAGTTTGACAGTTTGCGGTCGTCTCACTCTTTCCCCAACACCCACAGCGGGCTCATCAGTGCACCCTGGGCAGGGCGTGTGCTTCTGAGATGGCTTTTGTGAGAGGTGTGTTCCCTTACACGGACTTCCCGGAGAACGGGTCACGCGGGTTCCTGAACTCGCAGCGCTGTGACTCCTGCTCAGGGCTGGGCCCTGATGCTCAGCGCAGGGGCCCACAGTGTGCTCACGGCGGTGCAGAACAGGGGGTGCACAGTGTATTCCTTTGGTGACAGAGGCGGCCAGCGTTCACCCTTGCACCCAGCCCGGCTTCATACAGCAAACTGTGTAGCAGGTGGCCCGTGAGAAATGCTTTGAAAGATAAACCCAATTTCGGTTTTCTCTTTTCCTCTTGCCTCCACCAAAGGTTCTTGTGTTGTCCACTCTCTCCTCCCCTCACTCTGCGCCTTTCTTTGTTATCCCCCCATCCTCCTTTTCTCCTCCTCCGCTTTGCCTGGTTTTTTCTCCCTTCGCCTCTTTTTTCTCCCTCCTTTTCTCCTTCCCTCTCTTTACCCCACCACCCACTTCTAGGTTTATCCTCCCACCTTTCATCAATTATAAAAGTAATTAGGGTGGAGGAGAGACGGTGGGTTAGGAAGAACACATGTGATCAATTCACATGGAAAGGAAAGGAAAGGTTGGGACTGTAGCTCAGTGGGAGAGCCCTTGCTGGGGTGTGGGGTCCCTGGGTTCCCAGCCCAGTATGGAGCGGGTGGAGAGGATGGTTTCAAATAACAGAAGGAACAAAACCTGGAGGGATGGTCAACAAGATGGCTTCTACGCCCCAGTAATAAGCATGGAGGGGGAAAAACCCAAAACCCAAAAACCAAAAAACGCAATTGACTTACTAGTACTCTTGGCTGGCACATTTTGTGGCGTCTTTGAGGAACATGAAGTAGGTATTTGCAATTCCACGTGGGCCCAGACTGTTCTTCTGCAGTGGTGGTACAGTGGCGGTGCATTGCGCACAGAGATGTTGACGAGTTCACTGCGGCACCCGATGCCCCTCTTCTCAGAGCTGACTAATCAGAGGTAATCTGCTTCGGGCCCGAGACTGATGATGCATTTTGTTATGTTGTACGCTTCTGCATAATTGAAAGCAGTCTTTTTTTTAATAGACTGAAGAATTGCAGGATCTAGGAGTAGCCCTGAAATGGACAGACTTAACCTATCTGTCTCATGTTTACTACCCAAAGTTTCTTGAGTAAATACGAAAATATTAGGTTTTCCTCCCCGGAGAAGTATGGCCATCATATTTTTCTGTGTAACACAGTAATGACTTGGATATTTCTGTGGGTTTTTTCAGTGTAGAATTCTTGTAAAGTGGAAAATGTATCACACACTCAGCAGGGGAACAAACCGGCTTACTGATAGGTTTTTGGTTTTGTTTTATTTTGTCCTTGTGCCTTTCAGAATCTTTGCCAAGAACTAGAAGCAAAGTTTTATGATGGGACTTTTAATTGGGACAACGTCAAGCAGCATGACGCAGCCAGCCTGCTGAAGCTCTTCGTGCGCGAGCTTCCCCAGCCGCTGCTGGGTGCAGAGCACCTCAGGGCCTTCCAGGACGTCCAGAGTAAGTGCGCGCTCTGCAGCGCATTCATTGTCTGCATAGCACCTGGCAACCCAAGGCACATGATCGGATGCACGTGGATGGACCCCTCGGCTGCCACACGGCGTCTCCTGTTCTTTCAGGGACACACATCTGAGTAAATAGCAGTGTTCTCTGTGGGGACAGATTAATGACACAGCATTGAGGCGATACATTTTCGAGTTAAGACCTGGAAACTTCACATCTCTCTCAGAATAGAATGACTCACAGAAGATCTCTGGTACATTTTCTTGCCAAACATTAAGAGCAATGCTTGTGCTCGCTTCAGCAGCACATAGACGAAAGGCAATGCTTACTGAGGGAGCTGAGGATTAACCGTTATCGTGAAAAGCACTAGAAGTTGTGGAAGCGGCCGGGAGCCTTTCCTGAAAAATCTGATTCTGGAATTGTTAGGAAGCCTGGGACAGCACGTTTTGCTGTCTCCTTAGTGGAGGGACACATGATGCATGTGTTGGTGTTTTGTGGTCTTAGGAAGGCGTCAAATTTATGACTGGAGTTGTCTTCATTCCTTTTCCAGGGGACATACAGACCTTAGAAGGCTTATGTCCTGGCATATAACCTTCCTTAGGAGGTTTATTCATTTTATTTCATCATTTTGTTCAAATACCCACATGCTTGGCTTCTGAACTATGACATTTTTGAGAGGGAAAGAGGGGCACTCTTACTAGTTACATTTGCAGTCAGATCTATTGTTTCTTTCTTTTTTGGCACCAGCTATCAAACTTGGGTCCTCGTTCTTGTGAGGCAGGCAGTAGCACCACTGAGCTAAATCCCTGGCCCTCAGATCTGTTCTTAAGGGAAGCAACATTGAGATAAATCTGTGAGTCACACATCATTTCTTCAAGATTTCTAAGGGAGACATGAACTCTGCTGTTAAATTTGTTTTTAACAGATATTTAACAGACAGAAATCTTCTGATTCAAATCTTATTTTCACGGTTTTGTTATTTTGCATACATTTCTGGGATATGGACCATAAAAATCTGTTTCTGAGAAAGTAATGTTGACATGATCCTAAACTGCCGAGTACTTCTTACATAGGGAAGAACTACTGAGAAGGGCAGCGTCAGTGGTGATGAGACGCATCACAGGCTGGGCTCTCTGACTCACTCCCCGGGTGGTGCTGAACACCTAGTCTGTCCCAGGCCCGGGTTTCCATGTTGCTCTTGGAATTAATGGACTCTTCCAAAATAGATATGCTCCACAATTACAAGAAAGAAACTTAACTGTTGAAGTGGCTCCCCGACTCTCTCTGGTGGAAGGTCCAATGTCGTGTGTCTTTTCACTGGGGGCAATTACCATGCGGAGGTTAAGCGATTCCCACAGCACTCTGTGGGTCTGCAGGCACAGCGGCCACCGTCCTCTGATCACAGCTGGAAGTCAGCATCCGAGGCAGGGAGAACCGAGCAGCTGCTGTCACCGCTCTCCACCAACACTCACCCAACGAGGGCGCTGATCGTACATTTTACCGCAGTGTTTATGCCAAATAACTTTCTCTGGGGAAAATGATTTAAAAAAGAAAGCACAGGCAAATGTTCCACCCAGAGAAGGGTTCAGATTTCTCTCTCTGTCTGCAGATCTTCCAACCAAGAAGCAGCAGCTGCAGGCCCTGAACCTCCTGGTTATCCTCCTGCCCGATGTGAACAGAGACACACTGAAGGTCAGCCGCGTTCATTTCTGTTCGTTTCGCTTCAGAACCAAGCAGGGTAACGGTTCCCCACTGTGCAAGGCAACTCGATGTTCGTATTGGAGATGTTACCAAATGCAAAAGGAAGAGACCCACCTTAAGGGCAGATAGTAAGGTGATCTTTGAGTGTTTATTGGTCGTTACTACGCTTTCCTTTTGAATTGTCACTGTAACATTTGTTCTGCCAAAGCAGGCTATTACAGCTCACTGGTTAATGGAAACACAGACACTTTTTTTTTTGCTTTCTACTTGTCTGGATCTTTCACATTTTATTTAACAAGCATGTGTCTAGGAGGGGAAATAAATGTTTAAAATAAAAACCCTAAGGTTCGTGAAATGTAACTCTCGGAAGTTGCTTGTCGCTCCAAGCGGCGGAGTGTGAAGTTGGTCACAGTGGCAGCTTCTCATGACTGGGAAGCTAGAGATCGACTGGCTCAAAGGAATTCTACTCATTTTTTTAAGGGCTTCAGTTTCTGATTTACATCTCTGAAATGATTTGTTCTAAGAGCCATACGACTTAATCCCGTTTATCATAAGTATTATCAGAAGCTGTTGCAGTCAGTGTGAATTGTCCCATAGTGATTTGTCTTAATGGCCCGCGTTGATGGAGTTGTTGTAAAAGGTTTAATTATCTAAAAGGGAAAATCATCTATAAAGGACTATTTACTTACGCTTTGATAGTACCTTAAACACTTTTACAGAATAGGTGGGGCCTTTGCCTCTTTACCCCATACATTTCTTTCTATTATAAAGTGAAATCTCAAGTGAGGACATTTCTTGGCGTGCTGTAAACCTCAGAGATGTCGCTGTCTCGTGCCGGTGGGATGAGCGTGGCCGCTTAGCTTTGCCGGATCAGGACCTCGCCAGGCTCGCTGGAGCGGAGTGGAGAACTGCCCGGTGCCTCCCGTCCCCCGCCTGGCAGGTGCGTCTTCGGACGGCACTGGGCGCCACACGTTCGGCCGAGTGCAGATGGTGTCCGGAGCACAGCCAGGACGGCAGCCAGCCGCGCACCCCCAGTCTCCCCGACCCGCAGAGGCAGCGAGCATCATTGTCCCTCACTCATACCAAGGGCCCGGTTTGTGCCGACAACCCTGGGAATGAGCAGTAGGAGGTGGGAAGTGAAAAGCACGCGGGTTCCTTAAAATATAGCCAAGTTCAAATAGGACCCCGAGCCTTGGGCAGAAACACTCTGCTGTGGTTGCTGTCTGTTGGGCCAGGTGGGTCTAGAACTCCTCTTGAGACTTGGTCTTCAAATTCTCAAGCACAGTCTTAGAGGACTTCTCTCAAGAATATAATTTTATAAATTTAGGGCAGCTTTCAATTCTTCACAATTTTACAATGAAGAAGGTAAATAGTTTTGGGGGGGATTAAAAACTAGGAGACACAAAGATGTGATTTTATTTATTTGCTAAGCTTTCGTGACTTAATTAGCCACCTTTCAAGAAGGTTTCAAAGAATTCTAATACTACAGGATGGTAACAGGAACCTATGAACTATAAATTGATAAGCTGTAAATTTAGGTCATTTTGTTTCTTTGAGACAAGGTGTGTCTGTGTAGCTTGGGCTGGCTTTGAACTCACTATGTAGCCCAGGTTGGCCTTGCAGGGATCCTCCTGCCTCAGCCTCCGAAATGCTAGGATTTCAGGTGTGTGCCATTGCTCTGCTTAAATTTAGCTTCATAAGGGAGAAGGGAAACTCTGTGGCAGTGTAATTCCAGAAAGGCCAGTGCAGGCCTCCTCACCTTCCCAGTGACACCTCTCCTTGGTCAGGGTCAGGTGGCCGATGTGGAGTATTTTAGTAGCAGCCCTGAGGGATGGGAGGCCACCAGCTGAACACCACATCCTGGGCTGAGTGAGAGCCACCGGTGCCTGTGAGTGAGCTGCTGGGCGGGCAGCACCTTTGACCTGGGGAACAGTGAATACTGACTTTAACATATCAAGAGGGGTCCATGTTAATAAAACGATCTACATTTATGTTTGGATGGTTTTAATTTTGTCTTTGCAAGCAGGAGACTACTGTGTCCATTTTACAAATTAAGAAATGGTGTAAAGGGGCCAGGGATTTAGCTCAGCAGTGCCACCGCCTGCCTTGCAAGCTCAAGGTCCCGAGTTCAATCCCCCATACCAAAAAAAAAAAAAAAAATG